CTGTTTTCAGGACAGACTCCTTTAGTCGTACTGTATTCCATAGAAGGCATCCAGACCTCCCCTGACGTGGGCCTGTTTTCAGGACAGACTCCTTTAGTCGTACTGTATTCCATAGAAGGCATCCAGACCTCCCCTGACGTGGGCCTGTTTTCAGGACAGACTCCTTTAGTCGTACTGTATTCCATAGAAGGCATCCAGACCTCCCCTGACGTGGGCCTGTTTTCAGGACAGACTCCTTTAGTCGTACTGTATTCCATAGAAGGCATCCAGACCTCCCCTGACGTGGGCCTGTTTTCAGGACAGACTCCTTTAGTCGTACTGTATTCCATAGAAGGCATCCAGACCTCCCCTGACGTGGGCCTGTTTTCAGGACAGACTCCTTTAGTCGTACTGTATTCCATAGAAGGCATCCAGACCTCCCCTGAGGTGGGCCTGTTTTCAGGACAGACTCCTTTAGTCGTACTGTATTCCATAGAAGGCATCCAGACCTCCCCTGACGTGGGCCTGTTTTCAGGACAGACTCCTTTAGTCGTACTGTATTCCATAGAAGGCATCCAGACCTCCCCTGACGTGGGCCTGTTTTCAGGACAGACTCCTTTAGTCGTACTGTATTCCATAGAAGGCATCCAGACCTCCCCTGACGTGGGCCTGTTTTCAGGACAGACTCCTTTAGTCGTACTGTATTCCATAGAAGGCATCCAGACCTCCCCTGACGTGGGCCTGTTTTCAGGACAGACTCCTTTAGTCGTACTGTATTCCATAGAAGGCATCCAGACCTCCCCTGACGTGGGCCTGTTTTCAGGACAGACTCCTTTAGTCGTACTGTATTCCATAGAAGGCATCCAGACCTCCCCTGACGTGGGCCTGTTTTCAGGACAGACTCCTTTAGTCGTACTGTATTCCATAGAAGGCATCCAGACCTCCCCTGACGTGGGCCTGTTTTCAGGACAGACTCCTTTAGTCGTACTGTATTCCATAGAAGGCATCCAGACCTCCCCTGACGTGGGCCTGTTTTCAGGACAGACTCCTTTAGTCGTACTGTATTCCATAGAAGGCATCCAGACCTCCCCTGACGTGGGCCTGTTTTCAGGACAGACTCCTTAGTCGTACTGTATTCCATAGAAGGCATCCAGACCTCCCCTGACGTGGGCCTGTTTTCAGGACAGACTCCTTTAGTCGTACTGTATTCCATAGAAGGCATCCAGACCTCCCCTGACGTGGGCCTGTTTTCAGGACAGACTCCTTTAGTCGTACTGTATTCCATAGAAGGCATCCAGACCTCCCCTGACGTGGGCCTGTTTTCAGGACAGACTCCTTTAGTCGTACTGTATTCCATAGAAGGCATCCAGACCTCCCCTGACGTGGGCCTTTTTTCAGGACAGACTCCTTTAGTCGTACTGTATTCCATAGAAGGCATCCAGACCTCCCCTGACGTGGGCCTGTTTTCAGGACAGACTCCTTTAGTCGTACTGTATTCCATAGAAGGCATCCAGACCTCCCCTGACGTGGGCCTGTTTTCAGTACAGACTCCTTTAGTCGTACTGTATTCCATAGAAGGCATCCAGACCTCCCCTGACGTGGGCCTGTTTTCAGGACAGACTCCTTTAGTCGTACTGTATTCCATAGAAGGCATCCAGACCTCCCCTGACGTGGGCCTGTTTTCAGGACAGACTCCTTTAGTCGTACTGTATTCCATAGAAGGCATCCAGACCTCCCCTGACGTGGGCCTGTTTTCAGGACAGACTCCTTTAGTCGTACTGTATTCCATAGAAGGCATCCAGACCTTATGAAAGTTGCCCAGTGTACCCTTAATCTTTTAATACATCTAATCTAGTGATGCATAACTTGACATTTCTGCCATCCATTGTGACTTTGTGGGAGGATAACCAACCTTCCAATTAATGGCAATGCATTTCTTAGATGCTTGGTTACACAATCTCCAGGATCAACATTTACAAGCAAACAAAAAGGGGAGAAGGATAATCATGCTGCCAGAATTCAGCCAGCCTTCACAAGTCCATAACATATGCAAATATGTCCCCTTTTGGGTTTTACACCTCCAGCAGAGGAATTACATTTCTGAGTGCATGTTATTCAGTTTCATTGGCATATAGTACGTTCTATGGATGGTCTTAAACCGCAGTAATTTATGTCTGAGATTATGTGAACATGACTGGGCATTCAAACATATCTGTATCCATTCATCATCATCAATAGCGTCTCCCAGGTCTTCCTAATATTGTTGTTTTACATGTTTTGTGTTATCGGGAAAAGCCTCTATCAACCCCTGATACAGTTTGGATATCAACTTTAGAGGTTTGTCAGACTTCCTTAAAATCGTTTCAATCTTTGAAGCATCTTGCTTGTCCAGTGTTTGCTGCACAGAGAGAATAAAGTGTTGCATCTGCAAACAATCACCTCAGCTCCGGCCCAGACTGGTCTTCCCTGGCTGCCTGACCCTGCTGAGACCCCCGTCACCACCTGATCCTCCTAAAATGAGGCATGACAAAGAATTACCTTGGTGTACATTTACACATTATATTATCCAAGAATAGAATCAATGGTTCAATAATTGAAATGACCATTATTCCCAGATCCCAGACTATAGCTTTAAGCTGCTGTCCTGTGGCTACTGTAGGTCTACCCGTCAATTCAAGATGGAACTTTATATCATTCACTGATATTGTTAATATACTGTCAAATTCCCCTGAGCTCCGTAGACTGGTCTTCCCTGGCTGTCTGATCCTGCTGTGACAGCTGTCACCATCTGATCCTGCTAAGACATGATGAGCATAGTGTTGTGTGCTGACTGTGCACCATGACAGTGAAGCCTGAGGAGCTGTTTATACCATGTCAGTGGGAAAAGTAGGTGTTGTGATGAGTTTCTCTGGTATCAAGTAATTCATGACGCAAGAAGATATTTAACACTTAGTTGGGGAGTTCATTTAATATTTAATAGGTACCATGGTTCGATATAACAGACAGACAGGGCTCTGCCTCTTGCTATTCTGAACTACTGAACAAAGAACATATCTCACTTATATACCCTCTGTTACACGTTTCTTCAACCACATCTGTTAACCGTCAGTGGGCGCTCTCTTCTCTGATGTTATTCCCTTTTCCCCCCAAGTCAGTGTATCCTATCCATCAATCAATCTACCATAAACATCAGTAATCTCCCATGACATAATCGAATGCAGACTCTGTGGCACCAAGCCACTTACCAACTAACTCTAACCTGGTTCCCACAACACTATGAAAACCTCATAACAGTAGGGAATTAACTAGCGAAGCTGACAGATCAATAACATTACATCGCTGTACTGATTGCACAAAAGAAACGTCAGAATTATCGTTCTTCAATCATTTGGCCGCTTGCTGATTTCATCGTTTGATTCAGGTCTAGTGTGAATGAGGCAAAAATAATACCTACTTTTGGCCAGCTTTTTCTCTAACTGTACATCAACTTGCGAAAGCTGGCTAAGTTCATTTACTTCTGTTGAAATGGGGAAAAAGGCTACGAAATATTTCCATAAAAACAGCTGTTTAGATAGTAGTAATAGCCACCTCATATCGCTATCTGACAGATAGCTGCAGGCTAGAGCTGACCTGGCTGTGGTAGCTACTAGCTAGCTAATTCGTTCACCTCAGTTATGAAACATTAGCTAACGTTACATGTCAGTTACACTACTAGCTCAGCACTGGGAAAAAACACTAGTCTAGTTTTTTTTCTGTTAAGTGAAAAGCAGTTACCTTGCCAGTTACATCAGTCAACCAAAGAGTAGCCGGTTTCTGCTCTGCTTGCTTTTACAACTCGGAAAAGAGCGCAACACATACAGACTGACAGCAGCTGCCTCTGTTCATCTCTCCCGTGCTGGTCCAGCCAGCCTTTCAGGAGCTTTGCCTTCACACAGCCTGTCCGCCCTCTCTGTGGTGTCCACGCGGTCTTAAGTCCAGCCGACTGAAACCTCCAAACAGCCTACCCGACCACTCTAAGGCGTACACATGGTCCAAAAACACACGTCGTTTTTGGTATCACAGTGCAATGATAAAACTGGTGGGGACAAAAAATACAGTTTCAGAATATGGAGGGGTCATGACCCCCCGTCCCCCCAGTGAAAGTTGCACCCCTGATGTTTTGTACACACAGTGTACACACACACATACACACACAATAACACACACACAGTAACTTACACACACACCCCAGATCTACAGAAAGAACACAGAACACACTCTCTCTGTCTCTCTCTCTGTCTCTCTCTCTGTCTCTCTCTCTGTCTCTCTCTCTGTCTCTCTCTCTCTCTCTCTCTGTCTCTCTCTCTGTCTCTCTCTCTGTCTCTCTCTCTCTCTGTCTCTCTCTCTGTCTCTCTCTCTGTCTCTCTCTCTCTGTCTCTCTCTCTCTGTCTGTCTGTCTCTCTCTCTGTCTCTCTCTGTCTCTCTCTCTCTCTGTCTCTCTATCTCTTCGTCTCTCTCTCTCTTCTTCTCATCTCTCTATCTCTCTCTCTCTCATGTCTCTCTCTCTCTGTCTCTCTCTCTCTATCTCTCTCTCTCTGTCTCTCTCTCTGTCTCTTCTCTCTATCTCTCTCTCTCTCTCTCTCTCTCTCTCTCCTCTGTCTCTCTCTCTCTCTATCTCTCTGTCTCTCTCTCTCTTCTCTTGTCTCTCTCTCTCTGTCTCTCTCTCTGTCTCTCTCTCTGTCTCTCTCTTCTCTCTGTCTCTCTCTCTGTCTCTCTCTCTCTATCTCTCTCTCTCTCTCTCTCACTCTCTCCATCCCGCTGTCTCTCTCTCCCTCCGTCAGAGATCAGTCTAAACTCCAGGAACCCGTCAGCTGAGATCTCTATCCTCACAGAATTGTCTCTGTCTGCTGACGTCCGTTTGCCGCGCCCCTCCTACTCCTTCTACAGCGGGTAGGACATCACACACACACACGTAACTGTGTCACCATGGAAACCCTGTCTTCTAATCTCCATGTTAACCCTGACTTCCTGTCTCTAACAGGAAGGAGCTCCTCAGCTGTCCCCACGGCAACATCTGTGATGTCATTGGCCTGGTGGTGTTCTCTGGTCGGCATGAAAGAATCAGGAGCAAAGGTGGGTTACCATGGTGATGTTGATGATGGTCAGGGGCGAACATAGTGATTTGGAGGCCCCAGGCAGACGCCAGTCTAAGCCCCTCCCCCCCTCCCCCTCCAAAAATTGTAATTGTTTTAGACTAAAGACATGTAATTTAACTGTAAAAATGTATTCCCTTTTAATGTGCCATGAACACAACCAGTCATTATGTTTTCATCTGATTGTCAAACAAATCACTTCGAAAGTAGATTACTTTCGCACGTTCATCCAATGTAATTCCAGCATCCGAACAGTGCACTGTGCACCTGCCAACTGTCCTTCAATTCTCAAGTGGCTGCAACTCTCTCATCGGAGAAAGGGTTAGGGTTAGTGGCTGCAACTCTCTCATCGGAGAAAGGGTTAGGGTTAGTGGCTGCAACTCTCTCATCGGAGAAAGGGTTAGGGTTAGTGGCTGCAACTCATCGGAGAAAGGGTTAGGGTTAGTGGCTGCAACTCTCTCATCGGAGAAAGGGTTAGGGTTAGTGGCTGCAACTCTCTCATCGGAGAAAGCATCCGAATGAAACAGTGCCATACTCTTTTTGGCCTGACAGCACCAGATACAAATCAAATCAAATCACATTTAAAATGTAAAACTCTTGTCCATGGGCTACACATAGTGGCTTGTGAAAGTATTCACCCCCCTTGGCATTTTTCCTATTTTGTTGCCTTACAACCTGGAATTAAAATGGATTTTTGGGCGGTTTGTATCATTTGATTTACACAACATGCCTACCACTTTGAAGATGCAAAATATTCTGTCATCGGACTACAGAGTTTTTTAGGATAAGAAGGAACAGAATAGAGCTCAGACACTGGGAGACTAGAGGAAAACCTGGTTCAGTCTGCTTTCCACCAGACACTGGGAGACTAGAGGAAACCCTGGTTCAGTCTGCTGTCCACCAGACACTGGGAGACTAGAGGAAACCCTGGTTCAGTCTGCTGTCCACCAGACACTGGGAGACTAGAGGAAACCCTGGTTCAGTCTGCTTTCCACCAGACACTGGGAGACTAGAGGAAACCCTGGTTCAGTCTGCTGTCCACCAGACACTGGGAGACTAGAGGAAACCCTGGTTCAGTCTGCTGTCCACCAGACACTGGGAGACTAGAGGAAACCCTGGTTCAGTCTGCTGTCCACCAGACACTGGGAGACTAGAGGAAACCCTGGTTCAGTCTGCTGTCCACCAGACACTGGGAGACTAGAGGAAACCCTGGTTCAGTCTGCTGTCCACCAGACACTGGGAGACTAGAGGAAACCCTGGTTCAGTCTGCTGTCCACCAGACACTGGGAGACTAGAGGAAACCCTGGTTCAGTCTGCTGTCCACCAGACACTGGGAGACTAGAGGAAACCCTGGTTCAGTCTGCTTTCCACCAGACACTGGGAGGACTAGAGGAAACCCTGGTTCAGTCTGCTGTCCACCAGACACTGGGGAGACTAGAGGAAACCCTGGTTCAGTCTGCTGTCCACCAGACACTGGGAGACTAGAGGAAAACCCTGGTTCAGTCTGCTGTCCACCAGACACTGGGAGACTAGAGGAAACCCTGGTTCAGTCTGCTGTCCACCAGACACTGGGAGACTAGAGGAAACCCTGGTTCAGTCTGCTGTCCACCAGACACTGGGAGACTAGAGGAAACCCTGGTTCAGTCTGCTGTCCACCAGACACTGGGAGACTAGAGGAAACCCTGGTTCAGTCTGCTTTCCACCAGACACTGGGAGACTAGAGGAAACCCTGGTTCAGTCTGCTGTCCACCAGACACTGGGAGACTAGAGGAAACCCTGGTTCAGTCTGCTGTCCACCAGACACTGAGACAAATTCACCTTTCAGCAGGACAATAACCTAAAACACAAGGCCAAATCTACACTGGAGTTGCTTACCAAGAAGACAGTGAATGTTCTTGAATGGCCTACTTACAGTTTTGACTGAAAACTGCTTGAAAATCTATGTCAAGACTTTAAAATGTTTATCTAGCAATGATCAACAACCAACTTGACAGGCCTTGAATAATTTTTTGAAGAATAATGTGCAAATATTGTACAATCCAAGTACAAAGCTCTTAGAGACTTCCCCAGAAAGACTCACAGCTGTAATCGCTGCCAAAGTTGATTCTAACATGTATTGATTCAGGTATGAATACTTATGTAAGTTTATTTATTTATTTATTTAAATTTTTTTTTTTTTTTTTTTTTTTTTTCACCTTTATTTAACCAGGTAAACCAGTTGAGAACAAGTTCTCATTTACAACTGCGACCTGGCCAAGATAAAGCAAAGCAGTGCGATAAAAACAACAACACAGAGTTACATATGGGGTAAAACAAAACAAAGTCAAAAATACAACAGAAATACATATAATATACAGTGTGCAAATTTAGCAAGTTATGGAGGTAAGGCAATAAAATAGGCTATAGTGCAAAATAATTACAATTTAGTATTGTGATATACTTCTGTATTTAATTTTCAATACATTTGCAAAGATTTCTAAAAACATGTTTTGACTTTGTCATTATGGGGTATTGTGTTTAGATAGATGAGAAAAAAATCTGTTAACGATGTAGGTAACCCGTTAACGATGTAGGTAACCCGTTAACGATGTAGGTAACCCGTTAACGATGTAGGTAACCCGTTAACGATGTAGGTAACCCGTTAACGATGTAGGTAACCCGTTAACGATGTAGGTAACCCGTTAACTAATGTTAAAATGAAATCTCTGAATCTCTCTGAAAGCGCCTCATTGTTAATTTCATTGTTAATAATATTGCAGCTTCATTTCAATGAAATTCACGTTTCAATCATATCGCGTGGGGAAATGTACTGGTGGAATAGTCCAATATTATGAACCAGTCTGGGTGATTTAATGACACTTGTTTCTACTATTATGAGAGAAACTTGGATTATATTGATATGAAATAAATGTATGGAAGTAAATGATATAAATTATTGATCTATTATGAATGATTATTCTGCTGTATGGATTCATTCTTTTTTGGAGGCTTTTTTTGTCAACAGTGTGTGTGGGGCCTCAAGCTGAGGGGGCCTCAAACTAAAAAAAATATTTGTTAAAAAAATATTACTAGTATTATTTTTTAAATTATGCCCAGCTCACGAGGCCCCTTGATGATGATGATGATGATGATGATGATGATGTGAGGCCTGAGCCAATTGCCTCTTCTGCCTAATGGTAAGTCCGCCACTGGTGATGATTCTGGTGGTGGGGACGATGATTCTGGTGATGCGAATGTTGATAGTGTCTATGATGGTGTTGGTGGTGGTGGTGATGATGATGGTAGTGATATCTTCCTTGTGCAGACGGCCAGGGTACAGAGCTGTTGGAGTATCGGTGGCTCCGATTGGAGGACGGGACTTCTGATCAACCAATCATGATAAAGCTCTTCTCAACGTCTCAACCAGAGATACACAACAAGATATTCCCACGTGAGATACTGCGCGCACGAACGCACGCACGCACGTACGCACGTACGCACGCACGCACACTCACTCACTCACTCACTCACTCACTCACTGCTAACTCACTCCGTATAACGAAACCTCCCCTACAACTCTACTCTCGATAGAGAGAGAGAGAGAGAGAGAGAGAGAGAGAGGAAGAGAGCGAAGAGAGAGGGCAGAAGAAGCAGAGAGGGAGCCGGAGACCTAGGCTGAGCGCGAGAGAGGGAGGGATCGGCGGAGCTATCGCGAGAGAGAAGGAGAGAGAGAGGAGAATCGAGAGCTAGAGAGCTAGGCAGACCTCTAGGAGAGCCTCGAGAGCGGAGCTCTATCTCTCTCTCTACTCTCGCTTCTCTCTCTCTAACCTCTCTCTCTCACTCTTATCTACTCTCTCTATACTACCTCCTCTCTATCTCGAAATCTCTATCTCTCTATCTCTCTCTTCGAACTCTCTCTCTCTCTCTATCTCTCTCTCTCTCTCTCTTCTCTGTCTCTCTCTCTCTCTCTCTGTCTCTCTCTCTCTCTCTCTCTCTCTCTCTGTCTCTCTCTGTGTCTCTCTCTCTCTCTGTCTCTCTCTCTTCCTCTCTCTCTCATCTCTCTCTCTCTCTCTCTCTCATACCTCTCTCTCTCTCTCTCTCTCTCTCTCTCTCTACCTCTCTCTCTCTACCTCTCTACCTCTCTCTCTGTCTCTCTTGTCTCTCTCTACCTCTCTCTCTGTCTCTCTCTCAATTCAATTCAATTTCAATTTAAGGGCTTTATTGGCATGGGAAATGTGTGTTAACATTGCCAAAGCAAGTGAAGTAGATAGTTAACAAAAGTGAAATAAACAATAAATATTAACAGTAAACATTACACTCAGAAGTTTCAAAAGAATAAAGACATTTCAAATGTCATATTATGTATATATACAGTGTTGTAACAATGTGCAAATAGTTAAAGTACAAATGGGAAAATAAATAAACATAAATATGGGTTGTATTTACAATGGTGTTTGTTCTTCACTGGTTGCCCTTTTCTTGTGGCAACAGGTCACAAATCTTGCAGCTGTGATGGCACACTGTGGTTTTTCACCCAGTAGATAAGGGAGTTTATCAAAATTGGGTTTGTTTTCGAATTCTTTGTGGATCGCTGTAATCTGAGGGAAATATGTGTCTCTAATATGGTCATACATTTGGCAGGAGGTTAGGAAGTGCAGCTCAGTTTCCACCTCATTTTGTGGGCAGTGTGTACATAGCCTGTCTTCTCTTGAGAGCCAGGTCTGCCTACGGCGGCCTTTCTCAATAGCAAGGCTATGCTCTCTGAGTCTGTACATAGTCAAAGCTTTCCTTAAGTTTGGGTCAGTCACAGTGGTCAGGTATTCTGCCACTGTGTACTCTCTGTTTAGGGCCAAATAGTATTCTAGTTTGCTCTGTTTTTTTGTTTGTTCTTTCCAATGTGTCAAGTAATTCTCTTTTTGTTTTCTCATGATTTGGTTGGGTCTAATTGTGTTGTTGTTGTTGTTGTTGTCCTGGGGCTGTGTGGGGTCTGTTTGTGTTTGTGAACAGAGGCCCAGGACAATCTTACTTAGGGGACTCTTCTCCAAGTTCATCTCTCTGTAGGTGATGGCTTTGTTATGGAAGGTTTGTGAATCACTTCCTTTTAAGTGGTTATAGAATTTAACGGCTCTTTTCTGGATTTTGATAATTAGCGGGTATTGGCCTAATTCTGCTCTGCATGCATTATTTGGTGTTTTACGTTGTACACGGAGGATGTTTTTGCAGAATTCTGCATGCAGAGTCTCAATTTGGTGTTTGTCCCATTTTGTGAATTCTTGGTTGGTGAGCGGACCCCAGACCTCAGAACCATAAAGGGCAATGGGTTCTATAACTGATTCAAGTATTTTTAGCCAGATCCTAATTGGTATGTCAAATTGTATGTTCCTTTTGATGGCATAGAAGGCCCTTCTTGCCTTGTCTCTCAGATCGTTCACAGCTTTGTGGAAGTTACCTGTGGCGCTGATGTTTAGGCCGAGGTATGTATAGTTTTTTGTGTGCTCTAGGGCAACGGTTGTCTAGATGGAATTTGTATTTGTGGTCCTGGCAACTGGACCTTTTTTGGAACACCATTATTTTTGTCTTACTGAGATTTACTGGCAGGGCCCAGGTCTGACAGAATCTGTGCAGAAGATCTAGGTGCTGCTGTAGGCCCTCCTTGGTTGGTGACAGAAGCACCAGATCATCAGCAAACAGAAGACATTTGACTTCAGATTCTAGTAGGGTGAGGCCGGGTGCTGCAGACTGTTCTAGTGCCCTCGCCAATTCGTTGATATATATGTTGAAGAGGGTGGGGCTTAAACTGCATCCCTGTCTCACCCCACGGCCCTGTGGAAAGAAATGTGTGTGTTTTTTGCCAATTTTAACCGCACACTTGTTGTTTGTGTACATGGATTTTATAATGTCGTATGTTTTTCCCCCCAACCCCACTTTCCATCAATTTGTATAGCAGACCCTCATGCCAAATTGAGTCAAAAGCTTTTTTGAAATCAACAAAGCATGAGAAGACTTTGCCTTTGTTTTGGTTTGTTTGTTTGTCAATTAGGGTGTGCAGGGTGAATACGTGGTCTGTCGTACGGTAATTTGGTAAAAAGCCAATTTGACATTTGCTCAGTACATTGTTTTCACTGAGGAAATGTACGAGTCTGCTGTTAATGATAATGCAGAGGATTTTCCCAAGGTTGCTGTTGACGCATATCCCACGGTAGTTATTGGGGTCAAATTTGTCTCCACTTTTGTGGATTGGGGTGATCAGTCCTTGGTTCCAAATATTGGGGAAGATGCCAGAGCTAAGGATGATGTTAAAGAGTTTAAGTATAGCTAATTGAAATTTGTGGTCTGTATATTTTATCATTTCATTGAGGATACCATCAACACCACAGGACTTTTTGGGTTGGTGTCACGCCCTGGCTCTGGGGACTATGTTATGTTGAGCCAGGGTATGTAAGTCTATGTTTGTATATCTATGTTGGCCTGAGTGACTCCCAATCAGAGGCAACGAGTGTCAGCTGGTTGTCTCTGATTGGGAGCCATATTTAACTATCGGTCTTTTCACTTTGTGTTGTGGTTTCTTGTTCCGTTAAGGTTTGTTCGTGTTGTAACCTTAGACGTCACGCATCGTTGGTTATTGTTTTGATCGTGTGATCAGTTAATAAATATATATTATGTTCACCTTCAACGCTGCGCATTGGTCCTCTCTCGTAGACGATCGTGACAGAAGAAACCACCAGAACTGGACCAAGCAGCCTAGTGAGGAGCAGAGTAGGTGGACTTGGCAACAGTGGAGGCAGAGCTTCGACTGGGTCAAGCCGAATGAGGAGCTGAATGACGGAGATTGGAAGCAGAGGAGCGAGAGGTGGGCGAGAATTATCGAGGCCTGGCCCACGGGGAAGAGAGACTCCCAGAAATTTTTTAGGGGGGGGCTCACGACGTCGGACCAGCAGGAGGCCGCGATAGAGCGGCCCAGTGGGTTGCCAGAGGAGGCCGCCAGGTTAAGGGGGCCACTGGTCGAAGAGGGGATGGAGGATGTAGAGGCACGGCGAGAGGTACTGGCGTGTGTTGCCAGTCCGGTCCGGCCCGTTCCAGATCCCGGTGTAGGGCCAGTGGTGTGTGTCCCCAGTACGGTCCGGTCTATTCCTGCTCCCCGCACCAAGTCAGGGGTGCGCATCGTCAGCCCGGTTCGGCCCGTTCCTACTCCACGCACCAAGCCTACGGTGTGCGTCGACAGCCCAGCCCGGCCCGTTCCTGCTCTCCGCACCAAGTCTGTGGTGCGCGTCGCCAGCCCAGTCCGGCCCATCCAAGCTCTCCGCACCAAGCCAGTGGTGTGCGTCGTCAGTCCGGCACGGCCCGTGCCTGCTCTCCGCACCAAGTCTGTGGTGCGTTTCGTCAGCCCTGTCCGGCCCGTTCCTGCTCTCCGCACCAAGTCTGTGGTGCGCGTCGCCAGCCCAGTCCGGCCCATCCAAGCTCCCCGCACCAAGTCAGGGGTGCGCTTCGTCAGCCCGGTCCGGCCCGTTCCTGCTCCCCGCACCAAGTCAGTGGTGTGCTTCGTCAGCCCAGTCCGGCCTGTCCCTGCTCCACGCACCAAGCCTACGGTGTGCGTCGTCAGCCTGGTAAGGCCCGTTCCTCCTCCACGCACCAAGCCAGGGGTGCGCGTCGTCAGTCCAGCACAACCCGTGCCTGGGTCATGTCCGGAGCCGGATCCGCCGCCGAGGCGGAGTGCCCACCCGGTCCCTCCCCTGTTGTGGTTGTTTGGCGCGGTCGGAGTCCGCGCCTTTGGGGGGGGGTACTGTCACGCCCTGGCTCTGGGGACTATGTTATGTTGAGCCAGGGTATGTAAGTCTATGTTTGTATATCTATGTGGGCCTGAGTGACTCCCAATCAGAGGCAACGAGTGTCAGCTGGTTGTCTCTGATTGGGAGCCATATTTAACTATCGGTCTTTTCACTTTGTGTTGTGGTTTCTTGTTCCGTTAAGATTTGTTCGTGTTGTAACCTTAGACGTCACGCATCGTTGGTTATTGTTTTGATCGTGTGATCAGTTAATAAATATATATTATGTTCACCTTCAACGCTGCGCATTGGTCCTCTCTCGTAGACGATCGTGACAGTTGGAGGGTTTGTATTTTGTCCTGTAGTTCATTCAATGTAATTGGAGAATCCAGTGGGTTCTGGTAGTCTTTAATAGTTGATTCTAAGATTTGCATTTGATCATGTATATTTTTTTGCTGTTTGTTCTCTGTTATAGGGCCAAAAAGATTGGAGAAGTGGTTTACCCATACATCTCCGTTTTGGATAGATAACTCTTCGTGTTGTTGTTTGTTTAGTGTTTTCCAATTTTCCCAGAAGTGGTTAGAGTCTATGGATTCTTCAATTACATTGAGCTGATTTCTGACATGCTGTTCCTTCTTTTTCCGTAGTGTATTTCTCTCTCTACCTCTCTCTCTCTCTCTCTCTCTCTCTCTCTCTCTCTCTCTCTCTGTCTCTCTCTCTCTATACCTCTCTACCTCTCTCTCTGTCTCTCTCTACCTCTCTCTCTACCTCTCTCTCTCTCTCTACCTCTCTCTCTCTCTCTCTCTCTCTCTCTACCTCTCTCTGTCTCTCTCTACCTCTCTCTCTCTCTCTCTCTGTCTCTCTCTCCCTCTACCTCTCTACCTCTCTCTGTCTCTGTCTCTCGCTCTCTCTGTCTCTGTCTCTCGCTCTCTCTGTCTCTCTGTCTCTGTCTCTCTCTCTCTACCTCTCTACCTCTCTCTGTCTCTGTCTCTCTCTCTCTCTCTCTCTCTCTCTCTCTCTCTCTCTCTCTCTCTCTCTCTCTCTCTTCTCTCTCTCTCTCTCTCTCTCTCTCTCTCTCTCTCTCTCTCTCTCGCTCCCCTCTGTCTCTCTTTCCTGTGTCTACCCTTCTCAATGTCAAGGCTGGGCTCACTGAGCCTGTACTTTTTGATCAGTAACCATGGTCAAATAGTTAGCCACTGTGTACTGTCGATTTAGGGCCAGATAGCACTGCATTTTGCTTTGTGCTTGTGTTTCCCAATCAGTAATGTAGTTTTGTTTTGACTGTGTTGTAATGTGTTTTATTCTGATTGATTGGATGTTCTGGTCCTGAGGCTTCAGTGTGTTAGTAGAACAGGTTTGTGAACTCAGCCCCAGGACCAGCTGGATGAGGGGACTCTTTTCTTTGCTCAGCTCTTGGCATTGCAGGGCTTGGTAATGATATGAGAGGGGGTCACTGTATTTTAGATGTTTCCAAAACTTAATTGCTCTTTTTTTGAGTTTTTATTATTAGTGGATATTGGCCTAGTTCTGCCCTGCGTGCATTGTTTGTAGTTTTCCTCTGGACATGTAGGAGAATCTTACAGAACTCTGCATGCAGGGTTTCAATTAGGTGTTTGTCCCATTGGGTAAAATCTTGAATATATAGTTGATGTTTTTTACTGCTAGATTGATGCCTTCTTTACTGTGAGTGGATGAATATACAGTGGGGAGAACAAGTATTTGATACACTGCCGATTTTGCAGGTTTTCCTACTTACAAAGCATGTAGAGGTCTGTAATTTTTATCATAGGTTTTCTAAAACAAAAATCCAGAAAATCACATTCACATCCCTGTCTGTCTGTCTGTCTGTCTGTCTGTCTGTCTGTCTGTCTGTCTGTCTGTCTCTCTGTCTCTCTGTCTCTCTGTCTCTCTGTCTCTCTGTCTCTCTGTCTCTCTGTCTCTGTAGTATCTGTAGTGGTGTGTACCAGACTCCAGCTGGTCAGAGCTTCATCCTGCTGTTACCTCACCAACACTACCTACACCCAGATCTACTGCACAGGTAACCCAACACTACCTACACCCAGATCTACTGCACAGGTAACCCAACACTACCTACACCCATATCTACTGCACAGGTAACCCAACACTACCTACACCCAGATCTACTGCACAGGTAACCCAACACTACCTACACACACACAAACACACACACACTACCTACCTACATAAACACACACACACACACACTACCTACCTACATAAACACACACACACTACCTCAACTGTACAGATAACACACAGTCCCTGCCAGTTCTTGATGCTGATTGGTTAACCTCCAGGTTCCGGCCACCACTCAGTGATGCCCTACAGGAAGCTCCGCCCAGTGCGTCAGTTTGTCCGATGGCTGCAGAGCGTGGATGACAGACAGGTGCTGAGCAGGGCTGTGGTTGGTGGATACTTCATCTACCCGCCCCCTCCCGTCTCCCTGGAAGCCTACATGAAGAACAGAAAAGGTATGACTGTAGTTTAACCAGGGAAGTTGACTGTAGGTTATAGTTTAACCAGGGAAGTTGACTATAGGTTATAGTTTAACCAGGGAAGTTGACTGTAGATTATAGTTTAACCAGGGAAGTTGACTGTAGGTTATAGTTTAACCAGGGAAGTTGACTGTAGGTTATAGTTTAACCAGGGAAGTTGACTGTAGGTTATAGTTTTAACCAGGGAAGTTGACTGTAGGTTATAGTTTAACCAGGGAAGTTGACTGTAGGTTATAGTTTAACCAGGAAGTTGACTGTAGGTTATAGTTTAACTAGGGAAGTTGACTGTAGGTTATAGTTAACCAGGGAAGTTGACTGTAGGTTATAGTTTAACCAGGGTAGTTGACTATAGGTATAGTTTAACCAGGGAAGTTGACTGTAGGTTATAGTTTAACCGGAGGAAGTTGACTGAGTAGGTTATAGTTTAACCAGGGAAGTGACTGTAGGTTATAGTTTAACCAGGGAAGTGACTGTAGGTTATAGTTTAACCAGGGAAGTGACTGTAGGTTATAGTTTAACCAGGGAAGTGTGACTGTAGGTTATAGTTTAACCAGGGAAAGTTGACTGTAGGTTATAGTTTAACCAGGGAAGTTGACTGTAGGTTATAGTTTAACCAGGGTAGTTGACTATAGGTTATAGTTTAACCAGGGAAGTTGACTGTAGGTTATAGTTTAACCAGGGAAGTTGACTGTAGGTTATAGTTTAACCAGGGAAGTTGACTGTAGGTTATAGTTTAACCAGGGAAGTTGACTGTAGGTTATAGTTTAACCAGGGAAGTTGACTGTAGGTTATAGTTTAAGTAGGGAAGTTGACTGTAGGTTATAGTTTAACCAGGGAAGTTGACTGTAGGTTATAGTTTAACCAGGGTAGTTGACTGTAGGTTATAGTTTAACCAGGGAAGTTGACTGTAGGTTATAGTTTAACCAGGGTAGTTGACTGTAGGTTTATATAGTTTAACTAGGGAAGTTGACTGTAGGTTATAGTTTAACCAGGGAAGTGACTGTAGGTTATAGTTTAACCAGGGAAGTTGACTGTAGGTTATAGTTTAACCAGGGAAGTTGACTGTAGGTTATAGTTTAACCAGGGAAGTTGACTGTAGGTTATAGTTTAACTAGGGAAGTTGACTGTAGGTTATAGTTTAACCAGGGAAGTTGACTGTAGGTTATAGTTTAACCAGGGTAGTTGACTGTAGGTTATAGTTTAACCAGGGAAGTTGACTGTAGGTTATAGTTTAACCAGGGTAGTTGACTGTAGGTTATAGTTTAACTAGGGAAGTTGACTGTAGGTTATAGTTTAACCAGGGAAGTTGACTGTAGGTTATAGTTTAACCAGGGAAGTTGACTGTAGGTATAGTTAACCAGGGAAGTTGACTGTAGGTTATAGTTTAACCAGGGAAGTTGACTGTAGGTTATAGTTTAACCAGGGAATTTGACTGTAGGTTATAGTTTAACCAGGGAAGTTGACTGTAGGTTATAGTTTAACCAGGGAAGTTGACTGTAGGTTATAGTTTAACTAGGGAAGTTGACTGTAGGTTATAGTTTAACTAGGGAAGTTGACTGTAGGTTATAGTTTAACCAGGGAAGTTGACGTAGGTTATAGTTTAACCAGGGAAGTTGACTGTAGGTTTTAGTTTAACCAGGGAAGTTGATTGTAGGTTATAGTTTAACTAGGGAAGTTGACTGTAGGTTATAGTTTAACTAGGGAAGTTGACTGTAGGTTATAGTTTAACTAGGGAAGTTGACTGTAGGTTATAGTTTAACCAGGGAAGTTGACTGTAGGTTATAGTTTAACCAGGGAAGTTGACTGTAGGTTATAGTTAACTAGGGAAGTGACTGTAGGTTATAGTTTAACCAGGGAAGTTGACTGTAGGTTATAGTTTAACCAGGGAAGTTGACTGTAGGTTATAGTTTAACCAGGGAAGTTGACTGTAGGTTATAGTTTAACCAGGGAAGTTGACTGTAGGTTATAGTTTAACTAGGGAAGTTGACTGTAGGTTAGTTTAACCAGGGAAGTTGACTGTAGGTTATAGTTTAACCAGGGAAGTTGACTGTAGGTTATAGTTTAACCAGGGAAGTTGACTGTAGGTTATAGTTTAACCAGGGAAGTTGATTGTAGGTATAGTTTAACTAGGGAAGTTGACTGTAGGTTATAGTTTAACTAGGGAAGTTGACTGTAGGTATAGTTTAAACTAGGGAAGTTGACTGTAGGTATAGGTTAACTAGGGAAGTGACTGTAGGTTATAGTTTAACCAGGGAAGTTGACTGTAGGTTATAGTTAACCAGGGAAGTTGACTGTAGGTTATAGTTTAACCAGGGAAGTTGACTGTAGGTTATAGTTTAACCAGGGAAGTTGACTGTAGGTTATAGTTTAACTAGGGAAGTTGACTGTAGGTTATAGTTTAACCAGGGAAGTTGACTGTAGGTATAGTTTAACTAGGGAAGTGACTGTAGGTTATAGTTTAACCAGGGAAGTTGACTGTAGGTTATAGTTTAACCAGGGAAGTTGACTGTAGGTTATAGTTTAACCAGGGAAGTTGACTGTAGGTTATAGTTTAACCAGGGAAGTTGACTGTAGGTTATAGTTTAACTAGGGAAGTTGACTGTAGGTTATAGTTTAACCAGGGAAGTTGACTGTAGGTTATAGTTTAACTAGGGAAGTTGACTGTAGATTATAGTTTAACCAGGGAAGTTGACTGTAGATTATAGTTTAACTAGGGAAGTTGACTGTAGGTTATAGTTTAACCAGGGAAGTTGACTGTAGATTATAGTTTAACTAGGGAAGTTGACTGTAGGTTATAGTTTAACTAGGGAAGTTGACTGTAGATTATAGTTTAACTAGGGAAGTTGACTGTAGGTTATAGTTTAACCAGGGAAGTTGACTGTAGGTTATAGTTTAACTAGGGAAGTTGACTGTAGATTATAGTTTAACCAGGGAAGTTGACTGTAGGTTATAGTTTAACCAGGGAAGTTGACTGTAGGTTATAGTTTAACCAGGGAAGTTGACTGTAGGTTATAGTTTAACCAGGGAAGTTGACTGTAGGTTATAGTTTAACCAGGGAAGTTGACTGTAGGTTATAGTTTAACTAGGGAAGTTGACTGTAGATTATAGTTTAACTAGGGAGGTTGACTGTAGGTTATAGTTTAACCAGGGAAGTTGACTGTAGGTTATAGTTTAACTAGGGAAGTTGACTGTAGGTTATAGTTTAACCAGGGAAGTTGACTGTAGGTTATAGTTTAACTAGGGAAGTTGACTATAGGTTATAGTTTAACCAGGGAAGTTGACTGTAGTTTATAGTTTAACTGAGAGCACAGTCTCATTTACAGCAACAACTTGTGAATGAACCAATTGGAAGCTGGGGATGATTAGGTGGCCATGATGGTATTAAGGCCAGGACACCGGGGTTAACACCCCGTTTAACATCTGAAAGACAGCGCCATACACAGGGCAATGTCCCCAATCACTGCCCTGGGGCAATGTCCCCAATCACTGCCCTGGGGCAATGTCCCCAATCACTGCCCTGGGGCAATGTCCCCAATCACTGCCCTGGGGCAATGTCCCCAATCACTGCCCTGGGGCATTGGGATATTATTTAGACCAGAGGAAAGAGTGCCTCCTACTGGCCCTCCAACACCACTTCCATCAGCATCTGGTCTCCCATCCAGGGACCTCCTACTGGCCTCCAACACCACTTCCATCAGCATCTGGTCTCCCATCCAGGGACCTCCTACTGGCCCTCCAACACCACTTCCATCAGCATCTGGTCTCCCATCCAGGGACCTCCTACTGGCCCTCCAACACCACTTCCAGCAGCATCTGGTCTCCCATCCAGGGACCTCCTACTGGCCCTCCAACACCACTTCCATCAGCATCTGGTCTCCCATCCAGGGACCTCCTACTGGCCCTCCCAACACCACTTCCATCAGCATCTGGTCTCCCATCCAGGGACCTCCTACTGGCCCTCCAACACCACTTCCATCAGCATCTGGTCTCCCATCCAGGGACCTCCTACTGGCCCTCCAACACCACTTCCATCAGCATCTGGTCTCCCATCCAGGACCTCCTACTGGCCCTCCAACACCACTTCCAGCAGCATCTGGTCTCCCATCCAGGGACCTCCTACTGGCCCTCCAACACCACTTCCATCAGCATCTGGTCTCCCATCCAGGGACCTCCTACTGGCCCTCCAACACCACTTCCATCAGCATCTGGTCTCCCATCCAGGGACCTCCTACTGGCCCTCCAACACCACTTCCATCAGCATCTGGTCTCCCATCCAGGGACCTCCTACTGGCCCTCCAACACCACTTCCATCAGCATCTGGTCCTCCCAATCCAGGGACCTCCTACTGGCCCTCCAACACCACTTCCAGCAGCATCTGGTCTCCCATCCAGGGACCTCCTACTGGCCCTCCAACACCACTTCCATCAAGCATCTGGTCTCCCATCCAGGGACCTCCTACTGGCCCTCCAAACACCACTTCCATCAGCATCTGGTCTCCATCCAGGGACCTTCCTACTGGCCCTCCAAACACCACTTCCATCAGCATCTGGTCTCCCATCCAGGGACCTCCTACTGGCCCTCCAACACCACTTCCATCAGCATCTGGTCTCCCATCCAGGGACCTCCTACTGGCCCCTCCAACACCACTTCCATCAGCATTTGGTCTCCCATCCAGGGACCTCCTACTGCCCTCCAACACCACTTCCATCAGCATCTGGTCTCCCATCCAGGGACCTCCTCTGGCCCTCCAACACCACTTCCATCAGCATCTGGTCTCCCATCCAGGGACCTCCTACTGGCCCTCCAACACCACTTCCATCAGCATCTGGTCTCCCATCCAGGGACCTCCTACTGGCCCTCCAACACCACTTCCATCAGCATCTGGTCTCCCATCCAGGGACCTCCTACTGGCCCTCCAACACCACTTCCATCAGCATCTGGTCTCCCATCCAGGGACCTCCTACTGGCCCTCCAACACCACTTCCATCAGCATCTGGTCTCCCATCCAGGGACCTCCTACTGGCCCTCCAACACCACTTCCAGCAGCATCTGGTCTCCCATCCAGGGACCTCCTACTGGCCCTCCGACACCACTTCCAGCAGCATCTGGTCTCCCATCCAGGGACCTCCTACTGGCCCTCCGACACCACTTCCAGCAGCATCTGGTCTCCCATCCAGGGACCTCCTACTGGCCCTCCAACACCACTTCCATCAGCATCTGGTCTCCCATCCAGGGACCTCCTACTGGCCCTCCAACACCACTTCCATCAGCATCTGGTCTCCCATCCAGGGACCTCCTACTGGCCCTCCAACACCACTTCCATCAGCATCTGGTCTCCCATCCAGGGACCTCCTACTGGCCCTCCAACACCACTTCCATCAGCATCTGGTCTCCCATCCAGGGACCTCCTACTGGCCCTCCAACACCACTTCCATCAGCATCTGGTCTCCCATCCAGGGACCTCCTACTGGCCCTCCAACACCACTTCCATCAGCATCTGGTCTCCCATCCAGGGACCGACCAGGACCAACCCTGCTTAGCTTCAGAGGCAAGCCAGCATCTGGTCTCCCATCCAGGGACCGACCAGGACCAACCCTGCTTAGCTTCAGAGGCCAGCCAGCATCTGGTCTCCCATCCAGGGACCGACCAGGACCAACCCTGCTTAGCTTCAGAGGCCAGCCAGCATCTGGTCTCCCATCCAGGGACCGACCAGGACCAACCCTGCTTAGCTTCAGAGGCCAGCCAGCATCTGGTCTCCCATCCAGGGACCGACCAGGACCACCCTGCTTAGCTTCAGAGGCAAGCCAGCAGTGGGATGCAGGGTGGTATGCTGCTGACAAAGGAAATTAGTACATTTAGTTGTCAATATACACAGCCTTTTGATTCAGGTTTTTTGAAATGTTTACAAATGTACAAACGTTTTTGTTCTATTTTCTATAATATGTCTTCACTATAATAGTGAAGACATCAAAACTAAGAAATAACACATATGGAATCATGTAGTAACCAAAGAAGTGTTAAACAAATATTGATATTCTTCCAATAGCCCCCCTTTCCCTTGATGACGCTCTTGGCATTCTCTCAACCAGCTTCATGAGGTAGTCACCTGGAATGCATTTCAAGTAACAGGTGTGCCTTCTTAAAAGTTAATTTGTGGAATTTCTTTCCTTCTTAATGTGTTTGAGCCTATCAGTTGTGTTGGGACAAGGTAGGGGGGGTATACAGAAGATAGCCCTATTTGGTAAAAGACCAAGTCCATATTATGGCAAGAACAGCTCAAATAAGCAAAGAGAAACGACAGTCCATCATTACTTTAAGACATGAAGGTCAGTCAATACAGAACATTTCAAGAACTTTGAAAGTTTCTTCAAGTGCAGTCGCAAAAAACATCAAGTGCTAAGATGAAACTGGCTCTCATGAGGACCGCCACAGGAATGGAAGACCCAGTGTTACCTCTGCTACAGAGGATAAGTTCATTAGAGTTACCAGCCTCAGAAATTGCATCCCAAATAAATGCTTCACAGAGTTCAAGTAACAGACACATCTCAACATCAACTGTTCAGAGGAGACTGTGAATCAGGCATTCATGGTCGAATTGATGCAAAGAAACCACTACTAAAGGACACCAATAATAAGAAGAGACTTGCTTGGGCCAAGAAACACAAGCAATGGACATTAGACCGGTGGAAATTTGTCCTTTGGTCTGAGATTTTTGGTTCCTACCGCCATGTCTTTGTGAGATGCAGAGTAGGTGAACGCATGATCTCTGCATGTGTGATTCCCACCGTGAAGCATGGAGGAGGAGGTGTAATAGTGCTTTGCTGGTGACGGTGTCCAGACAGTGTGATAGTTAGTTAGATTGAAGCGCTAAAAGTCAGTCCACACAGTGTGATAGTTAGTTAGATTGAAGCGCCACAGTGTGATAGTTAGATTGAATCAGTTAGTAGGATCGCCACAGTTCTATGCAGAACCCAACCACAGACTAGAAACCAGCCAGCACTTATTTTAATGCCTGGAGGGAGGCAAAAGTTATTGACATTATAGATCATAGTCTGCTACTGGAAAAACGTATGTGTTATGGCTTTACACCCCCTGCTATATTGTGGAAAAAGAGTTACCTGTCTAACAGAACACAGAGGGTGTTCTTTAATGGAAGCCTCTCCAACATAATCCAGGTAGAATCAGGAATTCCCCAAGGCAGCTGTCTAGGCCCATTACTTATTTCAATCTTTACTAATGACATGCCACTGGCTTTGAGTAAAGCCAGTGTGTCTATGTATGCGGATGACTCAATACTATAAATGTCAGCTACTACAGTGACTGAAATGACTGCAACACTCAACAAAGAGCTGCAGTTAGTTTCAGAATGGGTGGCAAGGAATAAGTTAGTCCTAAATATTTCAAAAACTAAAAGCATTGTATTTGGGACAAATCATTTACTAAACCCTAAACCTCAACTAAATCTTATAATAAAGCGCTGCTCTGCCTTCTTAACAACACTATCAACAAGGCAGGTCCTACAGGCCTTAGTTTTGTCACACCTGGACTACTGTTCAGTCGTGTGGTCAGGTGCCACAAAGAGGGACTTCATTTTGTGTTGTAGATATGTGGTAGTGGTGGAGTAGGGGCCTGAGGGCACACACTTAGTGTGTTATGAAATCTGTTATGAATGTATTGTAATTTTGCCGGACCCCAGGGAGAGTAGCTGCTGCCTTGGCAGCATAACAACAGCAAGGAGACAGCTGTGACTTACTCAATGTAAGCGTCAAGAGCTACACCGGGCTACTGGAGAGTCAAGAGCTACACCGGGCTGCGGGAGAGTCAAAAAGACTCTCAATGTTATTAAATGCTGGGACCCATCAAAACATCAACGCAACGGAGGCTGTATTACCAGTATGATAGCCAGGAGAGAAGCACCTTTGAGGGGATGCAGTTTCCAGTACAGGCCGGTGGAAAGCCAGGAGGGAGGCAAGAGCTATACTGGGCCGTGGGAAAGTCAAGAGCTACACCGGGCCGCGGGAAAGTCAAGAGCTACACCGGGCCGCGGGAAAGTCAAAAATACTAAATCCAAGTAGGCTAAACTAAGTGGAGTTTAAGTTTGGCAGTAGTCCAAAAACATCCAAGGCACAATGTCAAATGGAAGGATGAAAGCAGCAGTAGGTAGGTGTCTGATCAGATAACGCCCCAGAGCAGAGGAGGGTGCCCAGGTATATCACAGGAGGCAGGTGTCTGATCAGATAACGCCCCAGAGCAGAGGAGGGTGCCCAGGTATATCACAGGAGGCAGGTGTCTGATCAGATAACGCCCCAGAGCAGAGGAGGGTGCCCAGGTATATCACAGGAGGCAGGTGTCTGATCAGATTTTGTGCAACATTGTAACCTATGTTTGAGACCAACGCATAGCCGTGTTTGTGTGAGAAGCGCGCTCGTATATCTCACAGAAATATACTGAACAAAAATATAAACACAACATGCAACAATTTCAAAGATTTTACTGAGTTACATTTCAAATAAGGACATCAGTCAATTGAAATAAATAAATTAAGCCCTAATCTATAGATCTCACATTACTGGGAATACAGATATGCATCTGTTGGTCACAGATACCTTTAAAAAAAGGTAGGGGCGTGGACCAGAAAACCAGTCAGTATCTGGTGTGACCACCATTTGCCTCATGCAGCGCAACACAGCTCCTTCGCATAGAGTTGATCAGGCTGTTGATTGTGGCCTGTGGAATGTTGTCCCATTCCTCTTCAATGGCTGTGTGAACTTGCTGGATATTGGCGGGAACTGGAACACGCTGTCGTACACGTTGATCCAGAGCATCCCAAACATGCTCAATGGGTGACATGTCTGGTGAGTATGCAGGCCATGGAAGAACTGGGACATTTTCAGCTTCCAGGAATTGTGTACAGATCCTTGTGACATGGGGCCGTGCATTATCATGCTGAAACATGAGGTGATGGCGGCAGATGAATGGCACGACAATGGGCCTCGATCTCGTCACAGTATCTCCGTGCATTCAAATTGCCATCGATAAAATGTAATTGTGTTCGTTGTCCGTAGCTTATGCCTGCCCATACCATAACCCCACCGCCACCATGGGGCACTCTGTTCACAACGTTGACATCCGCAAACCCGCTCGCCCACACGACGCCATACACGCTGTCTGCCATCTGCCCGGTACAGTTGAAACCGGGATTCATCCGTGAAGAGCACACTTCTCCACCGTGCCAGTGGCCATCGAAGGTGAGCATTTACTCACTGAAGTTTGTTACAACATCTAACTGCAGTCAGGTCAAGACCCTGGTGAGGACGACGAGCACGCAGATGAGCTTCCCTGAGACGGTTTCTGACAGTTTGTGCAGAAATTATTCGGTTGTGCAAACCCACAGTTTCATCAGCTGTCCGGGTGGCTGGTCTCAGACGATCCCACAGGTGAAGAAGTCTGACGTTGAGGTCCTAGGTTGGCGTGGTTACACGTGGTCTGCGGTTGTGAGGCCGGTTGGATGTACTGCCAAATTCTCTAAAACGACGTTGGAGGCAGCTTATGGTAGAGAGATTACCATTCAATTATCTGACAACAGCTCTGGTGGACATTCCTGCAGTCAGCATGCCAAATGCACGCTCCCTCAAAACTTGAGACATCTGTAGCATTGTGTTGTGTGACAAAACTGGCCTTTTTAGTGGCCTTTTATTGCCCCCCGCACAAGGTGCACCTGTGTAATGATCATGCTGTTTAATCAGCCTCTTGATATACCACACCTGTCAGGTGGATGGATTATCTTGGCAAAGGAGAAATGCTCACTAACAGGGATGTAAACATCTTGACATGTTGTTTATATTTATGTTCAGTATACATTATTTTTCTGTTTCATACTGTGTGTGTGTCTCTGTGTGTGTCTCTGTGTGTGTGTGTGTCTCTGTGTGTGTGTGCGTGTGCGTGTGTGTGTGTAGGTGAACCAGGCCTGCTGAGGGGGGCGGAGCTGAAGTGGGAGGCGGAGCGACTTCAGTACAGAGAGAGACGCAGCTTTTGTATCCAGGCAACCATCACCATGGTTACACATTGCCGTAGAGGAGAGGTAACTAACACACATCATACACACACACACACACACACACACATCATACACACACACACACAGAGACACACACAGAGACACACACAGAGACACACACAGAGACACACACACACACCTACTTCCCTGCGCCACCCATACGTAAAATGAATGCACGCATGACTAAGTTGCTTTGGATAAAAGGGTCTGCTAAATGCCATATATTATCCACAGGTGAATAGAGCTCGCCAGCTTGTTACCTCTGGTTCGTTCAGACATTCCTGTGGGGAAAGTAAGGTCTGAGGTTAATACAGCCTTAGGAGATCTTATACGTGTTCTATGAGATAATATCAGTCAGTTAACGTGACCTTTATGAATTATAAAGCCTTTATGTTGTTCTATGAGATAATATCAGTCAGTTAACGTGACCTTTATGAATTATAAAGCCTTTATGTTGTTCTATGAGATAATATCAGTCAGTTAACGTGACCTTTATGAATTATGAAGCATTTATGTTGTTCTATGAGATAATATCAGTCAGTTAACATGACCTTTATGAATTATAAAGCCTTTATGTTGTTCTATGAGATAATATCAGTCAGTTAACATGACCTTTATGAATTATAAAGCCTTTATGTTCTTTTTTTTATTACATAAATGCTTCAAAATTCACAAAAAGTGACGTTAACTGATGAAGATTATCTCATAGAACAGGTGATAGGTGGTCCTCTGTAGCTCAGCTGGTAGAGCACGGCGCTCGTAACGCCAAGGTAGTGGTCCTCTGTAGCTCAGCTGGTAGAGCATGGCGCTTGTAACGCCAAGGTAGTGGGTTCGATCCCCGGGACCACCCATACACAAAAATGTATGCACGCATGACTGTAGTCGCTTTGGATAAAAGCGTCTGCTAAATGGCATATTATTATTATATTAGTATAGAACAAAACTTATAAGATCTCCTGAGCCTGTGTTTTCAGTCCTTATTTTCAGTGTTTATTCAAAAACCCTAGAAAAAACTAAATTTCCCCGTAGGCCTTGTCCAACGAACCATGACGGAGTTAGTGCCTACAAAAAGACAACATTACTATTGCTCTCTATTAGTTATAACATATAGACTATCATTCTGTCTATCAGTTATAACATATAGACTATCATTCTATTAGTTATAACATATATACTATCATTCTGTCTATCAGTTATAACATATAGACTATCATTCTGTCTATCAGTTATAACATATAGACTATCATTCTGTCTATTAGTTATAACATATAGACTATCATTCTGTCTATCAGTTATAACATATAGACTATCATTCTATTAGTTATAACATATAGACTATCATTCTGTCTTAGTTATAACATGTAGACTATCATTATGTCTATTAGTTATAAAATATAGACTATCATTATATCTATTAGTTATAACATATAGACTATCATTCTGTCTATCAGTTATAACATGTAGACTATCATTATGTCTATCACTTATAACATATAGACTATCATTCTGTCTATTAGTTATAACATATAGACTATCATTCTATTAGTTATAACATATATACTATCATTCTGTCGTATCAGTTATAACATATATACTATCATTCTATTAGTTATAACATATAGACTATCATTCTATTAGTTATAACATATAGACTATCATTCTATTAGTTATAAAATATAGACTATCATTCTATCTATTAGTTATAACATATAGACTATCATTCTGTCTATCAGTTATAACATATAGACTATCATTCTATTAGTTATAACATATATACTATCATTCTGTCGTATCAGTTATAACATATATACTATCATTCTATTAGTTATAACATATAGACTATCATTCTATTAGTTATAACATATAGACTATCATTCTATTAGTTATAAAATATAGACTATCATTCTATCTATTAGTTATAACATATAGACTATCATTCTGTCTATCAGTTATAACATGTAGACTATCATTCTATTAGTTATAACATATAGACTATCATTCTATTAGTTATAAAATATAGACTATCATTCTATCTATTAGTTATAACATATAGACTATCATTCTGTCTATCAGTTATAACATATAGACTATCATTCTATTAGTTATAACATATATACTATCATTCTGTCGTATCAGTTATAACATATATACTATCATTCTATTAGTTATAACATATAGACTATCATTCTATTAGTTATAACATATAGACTATCATTCTATTAGTTATAAAATATAGACTATCATTCTATCTATTAGTTATAACATATAGACTATCATTCTGTCTATCAGTTATAACATGTAGACTATCATTCTATTAGTTATAACATGTAGACTATCATTATGTCTATCAGTTATAACATAGAGACTATCATTCTATTAGTTATAACATATAGACTATCATTCTGTCTTAGTTATAACATATAGACTATCATTCTGTCTATCAGTTATAACATGTAGACTATCATTATGTCTATCAGTTATAACATATAGACTATCATTCTATTAGTTATAACATATAGACTATCATTCTGTCTATCAGTTATAACATATAGACTATCATTCTGTCTATTAGTTATAACATATATACTATCATTCTGTCTATCAGTTATAACATATAGACTATCATTCTGTCTATCAGTTATAACATATAGACTATCATTCTGTCTATTAGTTATAACATATAGACTATCATTCTGTCTATCAGTTATAACATATAGACTATCATTCTGTCTATTAGTTATAACATATAGACTATCATTCTATTAGTTATAACATATAGACTATCATTCTGTCTATTAGTTATAACATATATACTATCATTCTGTCTATCAGTTATAACATATAGACTATCATTCTGTCTATCAGTTATAACATATCGACTATCATTCTGTCTATTAGTTATAACATGTAGACTATCATTCTATTAGTTCTAACATATAGACTATCATTCTGTCTATCAGTTATAACATATAGACTATCATTCTGTCTATTAGTTATAACATATAGACTATCATTCTGTCTTAGTTATAACATATTGACTATCATTCTATTAGTTATAACATATATATACTATCATTCTGTCTATCAGTTATAACATATATACTATCATTCTATTAGTTATAACATATAGACTATCATTCTATTAGTTATAACATATAGACTATCATTCTATTAGTTATAAAATATAGACTATCATTCTATCTATTAGTTATAACATATAGACTATCATTCTGTCTATCAGTTATAACATATAGACTATCATTCTGTCTATCAGTTATAACATATAGACTATCATTCTGTCTATTAGTTATAACATATAGACTATCATTCTGTCTTAGTTATAACATATAGACTATCATTCTATTAGTTATAACATATATACTATCATTCTGTCGATCAGTTATAACATATAGACTATCATTCTGTCTATCAGTTATAACATATAGACTATCATTCTGTCTATCAGTTATAACATATAGACTATCATTCTGTCTATTAGTTATAACATATAGACTATCATTCTGTCTTAGTTATAACATATAGACTATCATTCTATTAGTTATAACATATATACTATCATTCTGTCGATCAGTTATAACATATATACTATCATTCTGTCTATTAGTTATAACATATAGACTATCATTCTGTCTTAGTTATAACATATAGACTATCATTCTATTAGTTATAACATATAGACTATCATTCTATTAGTTATAACATATAGACTATCATTCTATTAGTTATAAAATATAGACTATCATTCTATCTATTAGTTATAACATATAGACTATCATTCTGTCTATCAGTTATAACATGTAGACTATCATTCTATTAGTTATAACATGTAGACTATCATTATGTCTATCAGTTATAACATAGAGACTATCATTCTATTAGTTATAACATATAGACTATCATTCTGTCTTAGTTATAACATATAGACTATCATTCTATTAGTTATAAAATATAGACTATCATTCTATCTATTAGTTATAACATATAGACTATCATTCTGTCTATCAGTTATAACATGTAGACTATCATTCTATTAGTTATAACATGTAGACTATCATTATGTCTATCAGTTATAACATAGAGACTATCATTCTATTAGTTATAACATATAGACTATCATTCTGTCTATTAGTTATAACATATAGACTATCATTCTATTAGTTATAAAATATAGACTATCATTCTATCTATTAGTTATAACATATAGACTATCATTCTGTCTATCAGTTATAACATGTAGACTATCATTCTATTAGTTATAACATGTAGACTATCATTATGTCTATCAGTTATAACATAGAGACTATCATTCTATTAGTTATAACATATAGACTATCATTCTGTCTTAGTTATAACATATAGACTATCATTCTGTCTATTAGTTATAACATGTAGACTATCATTCTGTCTATCAGTTATAACATATAGACTATCATTCTGTCTATTAGTTATAACATATAGACTATCATTCTGTCTATTAGTTATAACATAGACTATCATTCTGTCTATCAGTTATAACATATAGACTATCATTCTGTCTATTAGTTATAACATGTAGACTATCATTCTATTAGTTCTAACATATAGACTATCATTCTGTCTATTAGTTATAACATATAGACTATCATTCTGTCTATCAGTTATAACATGTAGACTATCATTCTGTCTATCAGTTATAACATATAGACTATCATTCTGTCTATCAGTTATAACATGTAGACTATCATTCTGTCTATCAGTTATAACATATAGACTATCATTCTGTCTATTAGTTATAACATATAGACTATCATTCTGTCTTAGTTATAACATATAGACTATCATTCTGTCTATCAGTTATAACATATAGACTATCATTCTGTCTATCAGTTATAACATATAGACTATCATTATGTCTATTAGTTATAACATATAGACTATAATTCTGTCTTCTTTAGGAGGACCAGTGTCTAGTGTGGACAGACAGACCTGCTGCTGCCTCTCCTCGTATCTCTCCCTCCTCTCCTCGTATCTCTCCCTCCTCTCCTCGTATCTCTCCCTCCTCTCCTCGTATCTCTCCCTCCTCTCCTCGTATCTCTCCCTCCTCTCCTCGTATCTCTCCCTCCTCTCCTCGTATCTCTCCCTCCTCTCCTGTTCTCCCACCCCCTTCCTCCTCCCCCCGCCTCCCTCCTTACTCCCCCACGCCATCCAGTGCTTGTCTCCCCCCCTCCTCCCCTCGTCTCCCTCGCTCCTCTCCCGGCTCGTCGGTCAAATTGAGTCCCAGGCTTCTGGTGCTGAGAGCAGGGTAAGGCCCCCATCTCACACACACATTGCTGGACTGTAGAACGTAATGGGGTTGTGTGTTATTATTGATGTATTATTGCTTGTGTTGTAGGTTAGGACTCGATAATGGTAAATCCCCAAAGAGAATACTTTTCAGCAGCGCTGGACCCCCCAGGAAGAGGTGTGTGTGTGTGTATATAGTGTGTGCACAGTGCATTCAGAAAGAGACACCACAATACTACATAAAGAGACCTAAGACAACAACATAGCATGACAGCAACACAACATGACAACACAACATGGTAGCAACACAACATGACAACAACATGGTAGCAACACAACATGACAACAACATGGTAGCAGCACAACATGACAACAACATGGTAGCAACACAACATGGTAGCAGCACAACATGGTAGCAACACAACATGGTAGCAGCACAACATGGTAGCAACACAACATGGTAGCAACACAACATGGTAGCAGCACAACATGGTAGCAGCACAACATGGTAGCAACACAACATGGTAGCAGCACAACATGGTAGCAGCACAACATGGTAGCAGCACAACATGGTAGCAACACAACATGGTAGCAACACAACATGGTAGCAGCACAACATGGCAGCAGCACAACATGGTAGCAGCACAACATGGTAGCAACACAACATGGTAGCAACACAACATGGTAGCAGCACAACATGGTAGCAACACAACATGACAACAACATGGTAGCAACACAACATGGTACAAACATTATTGGGCAACAGACAACAGCACAAAGGGCAAGAAGGTAGAGACAACAATACATCAAGCAAACTTTTTTGAAGCACCTTTGGCAGCGATTACAGCCTCAACTCTTCTTGGGTATGATGCTACAAGCTTGGCACACCTGTATTTGAGGAGTTTCTCCCATTCTTCTCTGCAGATCCTCTCAAGCTCTGTCAGGTTGGATGGGGACCGTCACTGCACAGCTATTTCAGGTTCAAGTCCGGGCTCTGGCTGGGCCACTCAAGGACATTCAGAGACTTGTCCCGAAGCCACTCCTGCATTGTCTTGGCTGTGTGCTTAGGGTTGTTGTCCTGTTGGAAGGTGACCCTTCGCCCCAGTCTGAGGTCCTGAGCGCTCTGGAGCAGGTTTTCATCAAGGATCTCTCTGTACTTTGCTCCATTCATCTTTGCCTCGATCCTAACTAGTCTCCCAGTCCCTGCCGCTGAAAAACCTCCCCACAGCATGATGCTGCCACCACCATGCTTCACCGTAGGGATGGTACCAGGTTTCCTCCAGACGTGACGCTTGGCATTCAGGCCAAAGAGTTCAATCTTGGTTTCATCAGACCAGAGGTCTTGTTTCTCATGGTCTGAGAGTCTTTAGGTGCCTTTTGGCAAACTCCAAGCGGGCTGTCATGTGCCTTTTACTGAGGAGTGGCTTCCGTCTGGCCACTCTACCATAAAGGCCTGATTGGTGGAGTGCTGCAGAGATGGTTGTCCTTCTGGAAGGTTCTCCCATCTCCACAGAGGAACTCTAGAGCTCTGTCAGAGTGACCATCGGGTTCTTGGTCACCTCCCTGACCATGGCACTTCTCCCCAGATTGCTCATTTTGGCCAGGCGGCCAGCTCTAGGAAGGGTCTTGGTGACAAGCATTTCGCTACACCCGCTATAACATCTGCTAAACACGTGTATGTGACAAATAAAATTTGATTTGATTTGATTCCAAACTTCTTCCATTGAAGAATGATGGAGGCCACAGTGTTCTTGGGGACCTTCAATGCACAGACATTTTTTGGGACCCTTCCCCAGATCTGTGCATCGACACAATCCTGTCTCAGAGCTCTACAGACAATTCCTTCGACCTCATGACCTGGTTTTTGCTCTGACATGCACTGTCAACTGTGGGACCCTATATAGACGTGTGTGTGCCTTTCCAAATCATGTCCAATCAATTGAATTTACCACAGGTGGACTCCAATCAAGTTGTAGCATCATCTCAAGGATGATCAATGGAAACAGAATGCACCTGAGCTCAATTTCGAGTCTCATAGCAAAGAGTCTGAATACTTATGTAAATAAGGTATTTCAGTTTTTTATTTTTTATAAAAAAACTTTTTTTGAGGGAGAAAATGTATTTAATCTATTTTAGAATAAGACTGTAATGTAACAAAATGTGGAGTAAGTCAAGGGGTCTGAATACATTCCGAAAGCACTGTGTATATATATAATGTGTGTCTCATCTGTTCTCTGTTGTTCTCTGCAGACTGACTCTAGGGACCCATCCAGAGGAGGAGACCGACACAGGTCAGACTGAGTTTAGAGTAAAAAATACTATGTTGTAGTAACGTTGTAGTAGTGTTGTAGTAACGTTGTAGTAGTGTTGTAGTAGTGTTGTAGTAACGTTGTAGTAGTGTTGTAGTAAGGGTTGTAGTAGTGTAGTAGTAACGTTGTAGTAACGTTGTAGTTGTAACATGTCTCAGAGGGCAATCTGTAGTAATGTTGTAGTAGTGTTGTAACGTTGTAGAAGTGTTGTAGTAATGTTGTAGTAGTGTTGTAGTAACATTGTAGTTGTAACATGTCTCAGAGGGCAATCTGTAGTAACATTGTAGTAATGTTGTAGTAGTGTTGTTGTAATGTTGTAGTAATGTTGTAGTAATGTTGTAGTAGTGTTGTAGTAACATTGTAGTAGTGTTGTAGTAACGTTGTAGTTGTAACATGTCTCAGAGGGCAATCTGTAGTAATGTTGTAGCAATGTTGTAGTAGTGTTGTAGTAACGTTGTAGTAGTGTTGTAGTAAGGGTTGTAGTAGTGTTGTAGTAACGTTGTAGTAGTAACGTTGTAGTAACGTTGTAGTTGTAACATGTCTCAGAGGGCAATCTGTAGTAATGTTGTAGTAGTGTTGTAACGTTGTAGAAGTGTTGTAGTAATGTTGTAGTAGTGTTGTAGTAACATTGTAGTTGTAACATGTCTCAGAGGGCAATCTGTAGTAACATTGTAGTAATGTTGTAGTAACGTTGTAGTAATGTTGTAGTAACGTTGTAGTAGTGTTGTAGTAACATTGTAGTAGTGTTGTAGTAACGTTGTAGTTGTAACATGTCTCAGAGGGCAATCTGTAGTAATGTTGTAGTAATGTTGTAGTAGTGTTGTAGTAACGTTGTAGTTGTAACATGTCTCAGAGGGCAATCTGTAGTAACGTTGTAGTAATGTTGTAGTAGTGTTGTAGTAACGTTGTAGTAGTGTTGTAGTAAGGGTTGTAGTAGTGTTGTAGTAACGTTGTAGTAGTAACGTTGTAGTAACGTTGTAGTTGTAACATGTCTCAGAGGGCAATCTGTAGTAATGTTGTAGTAGTGTTGTAACGTTGTAGAAGTGTTGTAGTAATGTTGTAGTAGTGTTGTAGTAACATTGTAGTTGTAACATGTCTCAGAGGGCAATCTGTAGTAACATTGTAGTAATGTTGTAGTAGTGTTGTTGTAACGTTGTAGTAATGTTGTAGTAATGTTGTAGTAGTGTTGTAGTAACATTGTAGTAGTGTTGTAGTAACGTTGTAGTTGTAACATGTCTCAGAGGGCAATCTGTAGTAATGTTGTAGTAATGTTGTAGTAGTGTTGTAGTAACGTTGTAGTTGTAACATGTCTCAGAGGGCAATCTGTAGTAGTGTTGTAGTAATGTTGTAGTAGTGTTGTAGTAACGTTGTAGTTGTAACATGTCTCAGAGGGCAATCTGTAGTAGTGTTGTAGTAATGTTGTAGTAACGCTGTAGTAATGTTGTAGTAGGCAAGACAAAAGTATTTTCACGATTTCAGTTATATTATCAAAATCAATCAATCAATCAATCAATCAATCAATCAATCAATCATAGCCCGTTTTTGGACTCATTCAGTAGTTGTTGCCTGATTCAATAGAACCCTGTTGAAGAATGTTAGAATGATCATTTATATTCCTAAAACATAAGTTGAAAATGATACCGTTGCTGCTTCCAGTTGTCATGGCTTTGTGATTTATGGCTGAGTGTCCAAGCACTGATTTTAAATGTCCAAATTCATAATCAATATGCTGAAATAGGTCGTGATATTTTGAAGACCAAAACATAAAAAGTATATTAATACATGTCAAATGTGTACCTTATAAACTGCACATGCACCAACATTTACCAAGCATCCACTCTAAACTGGAATTGATTAGCTTGTTCTACGGCAGGGTTCTTCAATTCCGGTCCTGGAGGGCCGAAACACTTCTGTTTTTTATTTCTACCTGGTAGTTAATTGCACTCACCTGGTGTCCCAGGTCTGAATTAGCCCCTGATTAGAAGGAGAGGATGAAAAACAGAGGTGTTTCAGCCCCCTCCAGGACCCTGTAATCTACTGTAATCAATAGCGTACAAATGAATCACTCACATTGATATTGTATTGAAATCAATTGAATGTGGAATATAACCGTGGCAACATGTACCACATGAACTACATAGACCAGTGGATAGATGACAGCCTGCCATTTATCAACTCATCTCCTTGGGAGACCGTGTGATCCTGGACTTCCTGACAGGCCGCTGATTTGATTTGATTTGATTTACGGTAGATGGCCAATACCAAAAAGGAAACGGATCATTACTTCACAGGTAGTTGTGCACAGTGTCTGCCTGCCTGCCAGTTGAAAATCTAATGCCAATGTGTGTTTGTGTAGGCTACATGCCCCTCCCCCTCCGCAGCATAGCTGTAGCCCCTCCCCCTCCGCAGCATAGCTGTAGCCCCTCCCCCTCCGCAGCATAGCTGTAGCCCCTCCCCCTCCGCAGCATAGCTGTAGCCCCTCCCACTCCGCAGCATAGCGGTAGCCCCTCCCCCTCCGCAGCATAGCGGTAGCCCCTCCCCCTCCGCAGCATAGCGGTAGCCTACTGACGTTACAAGTATGATTCAGAAGATGGGGAGAGAGATTTTTAATTAGAGAAGAATGGATTAACTTTTTAAATGCCTGTTAGGGATACTATAGTTGTCACATTTCACATTGGATTAACTACAAAAATGTAAGACGTGTTTTTAAATATTTTAAAATATTTTTTGTATTTTTTTCCTCCTTTTTTTCTTTTGATTTGCTGGTGTTTTACAGCCTTTTGATTTGCTGGTGTTTTACAGCCTTTTGATTCGCTGGTGTTTTACAGTCTTTTAATGTCCAAAAAGAACCACCAGTTGGGGAATTTTGTGGTATCCAATTGGTAGTTACAGTCTTGTCCCATCGCTGCAATCCCCGTACGGACACGGGAGAGGCGAAGGTCGAGAGTCGTGTGTCCTCCGAAACACAACACAACCCAACCTAGCCGCACTGCTTCTTGACACAGTGCCCGCTCAACCCGGAAGCCAGCCGCACCAATGTGCCGGAGGAAACACCGTACACCTGGAGACCGAGTAAGCGTGCACTGTGCCCGGCCTGCCACAGGAGTCGCTAGTGCGCTATGGGACAAGAACATCCCTGCCGGCCAAACCCTCCCCTACCCTGGACGGCGCTGGGCCAATTATGCGCCGCCCCATGGGTCTCCCGGTGGCGGCCGGCTGCGACAGAGCCTGGACTCGAACCAGGATCTCTAGTGGCACAGCTAGCACTGCGATGCAGTGCCTTAACGTGTTTTTAATTCTGGTGCCGCTCTGCACACACAAGCTTGTTAGCTAGCTAGCTACTTCAGGTCCAGCGTTAAACCAACTCTGAAGTTCAAAGACATTCAAAGTTCCTCCATACAAGCCGCTCCTCCGTAGGTAGAATTCTGTGGGAACAGAAAGGAACAATATAAACCGCTACTTTTTTGGGGGTTCGAACCGGTTCAGAACTTTATTTTGCTGGTTGGAACAGTGGAACGGAACGAAAAAAATTATGGTTCTGTTCAGAACTAAATGATTGGAAAATAATTTATGTTCAAACCTCTGGGGTAGTCTGTAGTAACGTTGTAGTTATAACATCTCTCTGTCAGAGGGCAGTCTGTGGTAACGTTGTAGTTATAACATCTCTCTGTTAGAGGGCAGTCTGTAGTAACGTTGTAGTTGTAACATCTCTCTGTCAGAGGGCAGTCTGTGGTAACGTTGTAGTTATAACATCTCTCTGTTAGAGGGCAGTCTGTAGTAACGTTGTAGTTGTAACATCTCTCTGTCAGAGGGCAGTCTGTAGTAACGTTGTAGTTGTAACATCTCTCTGTCAGAGGGCAGTCTGTGGTAACGTTGTAGTTGTAACATCTCTCTGTTAGAGGGCAGTCTGTAGTAACGTTGTAGTTGTAACATCTCTCTGTCAGAGGGCAGTCTGTAATAACGTTGTAGTTGTAACATCTCTCTGTCAGAGGGCAGTCTGTGGTAACGTTGTAGTTGTAACATCTCTCTGTCAGAGGGCAGTCTGTAGTAACGTTGTAGTTGTAACATCTCTCTGTCAGAGGGCAGTCTGTAGTAACGTTGTAGTTATAACATCTCTCTGTCAGAGGGCAGTCTGTAGTAACGTTGTAGTTGTAACATCTCTCTGTCAGAGGGCAGTCTGTAGTAACGTTGTAGTTGTAACATCTCTCTGTCAGAGGGCAGTCTGTAGTAACGTTGTAGTTGTAACATCTCTCTGTCAGAGGGCAGTCTGTAATAACGTTGTAGTTGTAACATCTCTCTGTCAGAGGGCAGTCTGTAGTAACGTTGTAGTTGTAACATCTCTCTGTCAGAGGGCAGTCTGTAGTAACGTTGTAGTTGTAACATCTCTCTGTCAGAGGGCAGTCTGTAGTAACGTTGTAGTTGTAACATCTCTCTGTCAGAGGGCAGTCTGTGGTAACGTTGTAGTTGTAACATCTCTCTGTCAGAGGGCAGTCTGTAGTAACGTTGTAGTTGTAACATCTCTCTGTCAGAGGGCAGTCTGTAGTAACGTTGTAGTTGTAACATCTCTCTGTCAGAGGGCAGTCTGTAGTAACGTTGTAGTTGTAACATCTCTCTGTCAGAGGGCAGTCTGTGGGAAGCCTCCATGGAGTTCCTGGAGACCAACGATGATGAGCATGATGAAGATGATGATGAGGATGATCAGGCCTTCCTCACGGCCCCATCCTCTCCTGTCTCGTTGTCGGGTGGGTGTCGGCTGGGCCTGGCTCACGTTGCCATGGAGACGCTGCCCCTACAGTACTGCCCGGCGACCAGGGAGGAACAGGCGGTTGCCGTGGAGATGCAGACAGGAGAGTTCCAGAACCTTCAGTGTTGTAGAAGTCTAGAGAACTACAGCCCTTCAGTGAGCTACACCCAGACAGGACACTACACACTCACACTCAGAGGTATACATATGTACACAGTTTTGATTAATTGAAATTGAAATTGCCTCCTTGCAAAAGAGGTTTCTAACCTTCCCTCCCGCCCGCCCTCTCTCTCTCTCCACCCCTCATTACCCATCCCTTTCTCATACATCTCTATCTTTCGGTCTGTGTCTCTATCTATCTCTCGATCTCTATCTCTGCTATCTTCGCGTCTCTGTCTCTGTTCTCTGGATGTCTCAGTCTGTGTTTATCGCTCTCTACTCTCCTCTGCTCTATCTCTCTGTGCTCTCTCCCTCTCTCCTTCATCACTCCCTTCTCCATCTCTCGTCTGTCTGTCGCTCTCTCCCATCTCTCCCTCTCCATCTCTCTACCTTATCTCCCTCCGCTCTCTCTCTCTACTCACTGTCTCTCTCAGTAGCGCTCTCTCTGCTCTCCTACTCTCTCGTCTCTCACTATCATACGACAGTCATCTGATGAGGGGATGGAGATAAGGATCTAGATGCGATCCGGCACGTAGGACCCTCCTCAAAATGTCCCCTTTCTCTCATCTCTGATCCATGAAGTTCTCCTTATCTCATCTATCTCGTTCTCTCTCTCTCTATCATCCCTCTCTCTCTCTACTCTCCCATACAGCGTCTCTATCTTATGTTCTCCTCTTCTATATCCTACATTCTCTCTCTCTCTCTCTCTTCTCCCTCTCTGTCTCTCTCTCTCTCCTCTCTCTCTCTCTCCTCTCTCTTCTCTTCTCTCTTCTCTATCCTCTCTCTACTACTCCAGCTCTATCTGATGGGGGGTGGTAGATGCAGTTCCTCACCTGCTAGCTGCCTCAGTGCCCCTTCAGGCCCCTCCCCTCCACATGGCCCTTCCCACTCCGACCACTGGTTCACCATCCTGACACACGGAGGCTTTTCACCACACACTCCACCACCTGCACCAGGTAACACACACCTCCACCTGGTAACACACACCACCACCTGGTAACAACACCACCACCTGGTAACACACACCCACACCTGGGTAACACACACCACCACCTGGTAACACACACCTCCACCTCCACTGGTAACTCACACCTCCACCTGGAAACACACCACTCCACTGGTAACACACACTCCACCTGGTAACACACACCTCCACCTGTAACACACACCTCCACCTGATAACACACACCTCACTCCACCTGGTAACACACACCTCCACCTGGTAACACACACCTCCACCTGGTAACACACACCTCCACCTCCACCTGGTAACACACACCATCCACTGGTAACACACACCTACCACCTGGTAACACACACCTCCACCTCACCTGGTAACACACCACCACCTGGTACACACACCTCCACCACACCTGGTAACAACACCACCCCTGGTAACACACACCTCCACCTGTAACACACACTCATGAACACAAACACACTGGTAAACACACACACACCTGGTAACACACACCTCCCACTGGTAAACACACACCACCACTGGTAACACACACCACCACCTGGTAACACACACCACCACCTGGTAACACACACCTCCACTGGTAACACACACCACCACTGGTAACACACACACACCTGATAACACACACCTCCACCTGGTAACACACCCACCACCTGGTAACACCACACCTCCACCTGGTAACACACACCACCACCTGGTAACACACACCACCACCTGGTAACACACACACACCACTGGTAACACACACCTCCACCTGGTAACACACACCACCACCTGGTAACACACACCACACCTGATAACACACACCTCCACCTGTAACACACACCCCACCTGGTAACAACACCTACCACCTGGTAACACACACCACCACCTGGTAACACACACCACACTGGTAACACACACCTCCACTGGTAACACAACACTCCACCTGGTAACACACACCTCCACCTGGAACACACACTCACCTGGTAACAAACACCTCCACCTGGTGAAACACACACACTCACCGGAAACACACCACCTGGTAACACACACTCCACTGGTAACACACACCACACACTGGTAACACCACACACCACTCCACTGGTAACACACACACTCCACCTGAGTAACACACACCTCCACCTGATAACACACACCTCCACCTGGTAACACCACACCACCACTCCACCTGGTAACACACACCTCCACCTGGTAACACACACCCCACACTGATAACAACACACCTCCACCTGGAAAACACACACACCACCTGGTAACAACACCTCCACTCCATGGTAACACACACCTCCACCTCCACCTGGTAACACACACCTCACCTCCACCTGGTAAACACACACCTCCACCTGGTAACACACACCTCCTCCTGATAACACACACCTCCAAACACACACCTCCACTGGTAACAACACCTCCACTGGTAACACACACCTCCACCTGATAACACACACCTCACCTCCACCTGGTAACAAAACAACCTGTAACCACCACCACCTGGTAACACACACCTCCACTCCACCTGGTAACACACACACCACCTCCACCTGGGTAACACACACCTCCACCTGACTAACACACACTCCACCTGGTAACACACCACCACTGGTAAACACACACCACCACCTGGTAACACACACCCCACCTGGTAACACACACCTCCACCTCCACCTGGTAACAGCACACCTCCACTGGTAACACACACCACCACCTGGTAACAACACACCACCACCTGATAACACACACCACCACCTGGTAACACACCCCCACCCACCTGGTAAACACACACCTCCACCTGGTAACACACACCTCCACCTGGTAACACACAACCACCAATGGTAACACACACCCACCTGGTAACACACACCACCCCTGGTAACAACACCTCCACCTGGTAACACACACACCACCTGGTAACACACACCACCCTGGTAACACACACCCACCCACTGGTAACACACACCTCCACTGGTAACACACAACCACCCTGGTAACACACACCACCACCTGGGTAACACACACCTCCACCTCCACCTGGTAACACACACCACACTGGTAAAACACACACTCCACCTCCACCTGTAACACACACCTCCACTGGTAACACACACCTCACTCCACCTGGTAACACACACCTCCACCTGGTAACACACACCTCCACCCCACCTGGTAACACACACTCCACCTCCACCTGGTAACACACAACCCCACCACCTGGTAACACACACCTCCACCTGTACACACCCACCCACCTGGTAACACACACACCACCTGGTAACACCACCACCACCTGGTAACACACACCTCCACCTGGTAACACAACCACCACCTGTTAACACACACCACCACCTGGTAACACACACCTCCACCTCCACCTGGTAACACACACCACCACCTGGTAACACACACCTCCACTCCACTGGTAACACACACCTCCACCTGGTAACACACACACTCCCACTGGTAACACACACCTCCACTGGTAACACACACCTCCACCTGATAAACACACACCACCACCTGGTAACACACACCTCCACCTGATAACACACACCTCCACCTGGTAACACACACCACCACCTGGTAACACACACCACCACCTCCACCTGGTAACACACACCTCCTCCTGGTAACACACACCTCCTCTGATAACACACACCTCCACCTCCTCCTGGTAACACACACCTCCTCCTGATAACCACACCACCACTGGTAACACACACCTCCACCTGGTAACACACACCTCCACCTGGTAACACACACACCTCCACTGGTAAACACACACCTCCACCTGGTAACACACACCTCCACCTGGTAAACACACACCTCCTCCTCCTCTGATAAACACACACCACACCTGGTAACACACACCACCACCTGGTAACACAACACTCCACCTCCACCTGGTAACACACACCACACTGGTAACACACACCTCCACCTGGTAAACACACACCTCCACCTGGTAACACACACCACCACCTGGTAACACACACCACCACCTGGTAACACACACCTCCACCTGGTAACACACACCTCCTCCTGGTAACACACAGCACCACCTGGTAACACACACCTCCTCCTGGTAACACACACCACCACCTCCACCTGGTAACACACACCTCCTCCTGGTAACACACACCTCCACCTGGTAACACACACTCCACCTGGTAACACACACCACCACCTGGTAACACACACCTCCACCTCCACCTGGTAACACACACCACCACCTGGTAACACACACCTCCACCTGATAACACACACCTCCACCTGGTAACACACACCTCCACCTGGTAACACACACCTCCACCTCCACCTGATAACACACACCTCCACCTCCACCTGGTAACACACACCACCACCTGGTAACACACACATCCACCTGGTAACACACACCTCCACCTGGTAACACACACCTCCACCTCCACCTGATAACACACACCTCCACCTGGTAACACACACCTCCACCTGGTAACACACACCTCCACCTGGTAACACACACCTCCACCTGGTAACACACACCTCCACCACCACCACCTGGTAACACACACCTCCACCACCACCACCTGGTAACACACACCTCCACCTCCACCTGATAACACACACCTCCACCTCCACCTGGTAACACACACTCCACCTGGTAACACACACCTCCACCTGGTAACACACACCACCACCTGATAACACACACCACCACCTGGTAACACACACCTCCACCTGGTAACACACACCTCCACCTGGTAACACACACCTCCACCTGGTAACACACACCACCACCTGGTAACACACACCTCCACCTCCACCTAGTAACACACACCCCACCTGGTAACACACACCTCCACCTGGTAACACACACCTCCACCTGGTAACACACACCTCCACCTGGTAACACACACCACCACCTGATAACACACACCTCCACCTCCACCTGGTAACACACACCTCCACCTCCACCTGGTAACACACACCTCCACTGGTAACACACACCTCCACCTGGTAACACACACCTCCACCTGGTAACACACACCACCACCTGATAACACACACCTCCACCTCCACTGGTAACACACACCTCCACCTCCACCTGGTAACACACACTCCACCTGGTAACACACACCTCCACCACCACCTGGTAACACACATCATAATAATGATAACTGTACTCTCTCGTCCTATCCTAGCGGACCTGATCGCAACGGCCTCCCAGCTGGCCAATCAGAGGCTGTTGTGTGTTCTGGAGGTGTGTCTTCTGGGAGGAGACAGAGTGGAGGTGGTACTGAGTAGAGCCTTCCCTCTGAAAGACTGACCTCTTCATCATGCGTCATATACAAATCTAATCTACTGTATGTGGGAGTCAATTAATCTACTGTATGTGGGAGTAAATTTTGTTGACTAAATGTTTGTCATTATTTGATCACACACAGACCCTCTTTTTCCCTAAAAAACCCCAACCCAAAAAAAACCCCCCAAATTGGAAAAAATTAAAAAAACGTATTTTTAAAATTTAAACAGGTTTTAATGATTTGTTGGTTTTAAATTTTAAAAACAGTATGGTAGGGTTCTAAAGGGGTTACTAAGGGGGTTTTAAATAAAACAACATTGTAGTGGGATCAATTAAAAAAAGTATTGTATGGGATAAAGGGTACTAAAGGGTTAATAAACAGATTTTTTGAAAACAAAAAAAACCCATACTTGAGTGGGTTAAAACGGGGTTTAAATAAACAGTAACAGTGTAGGGGTTTACTCTAAACGGTTAAAAACAGTAATGTATAGGTTACTAACGGGGTTTACTAAAAGGGGTTAAAAACAGTAATTATGGGTAAAAAGGGTTACAACAGGGTAATAAACAGTACTATTTTATAGGGTTATAACGGGTTTAAAACGGGGTTTAATAAACAGTATATTAGTAGGGTTTTTGGTAAACGGGTTAATAACAGTACTATTTAGGGTTATAAAGGGGGTAATAAACAGTACTATGTTTTTCTAATTTTTAGGTATAACAGGGTTATAACGGGTAATAAACAGTACTATTATGGGGTTTTACTAACAGGGTACAAAGGGTTTAATAAACATACAGTATAGGGTTACAAACGGGGTTACTAACGGGGTTTAATAAAAAGTATATGTGTGGGGTTTTACTAACGGGGAATAAACAGTATATTTTGGGGAAAAGGGTTACAACAGGGTAATAAAAGTACTATTATGGGGTTTACAAAACAGGGTTACAAAACAGGGTTAATAAACAGTACATGTAGGGGGGTTTACAACAGGGTTACTAACAGGGTTTAATAAAACAGTACTAGTATAGGGTTTTAAACAGGGTTAATAAACAGTACTAGTATAGGGTACAACGGGTTTAAAAAAACTCTAAAGGGGGCGGGTTAATAAACAGTACTATGATAGGGTTTACTAACGGGTTACAACAGGGTTAATAACAGTACTATGTAAGGGTACAAAGGGGTTTTAAAGGGGTTAAATAAACAGCTATGTAGTAGGGTTCTAACGGGGGTAATAAACAGTCTATGATGGGGTTTATAAAGGGTACAACAGGGTTAAAAACCCGTATATGTATGGGTTACTAACAGGGTTAATTAAAAAACAGTACTATGTTAGGGTTATAACGGGGTTTTACTAAAGGGAAAAAACCATACTATGGTTTTGGGTTATAACGGGGTTTAAATAAAAGTACATGTCAAAAAAGGGTTTACTAACGGGGTTTAATAAAAATACTATGTATAGGGTTTAAACAGGGGGTTAATAAAGTATTGTTAGGGTTACAACGGGGTTACAACGGGGAAAAACAGTACTTATGTACTAGGGTTATAAAGGGTTACTAACAGGGTTAATAAAAAAGTACAGATTAGTGGGGTTTAAACAGGGTTAAAAAAGTACATTACTGGGTTTAAAGGGGGTTTACAAAGGGAAAAAACGTACTAGAGTGGGGTTTACAAACAGGGTTAAAAAAAACCGTATATGTACTAGGGTTACAACGGGGTTAAAAAAAACAGGGTGGTTTAATTAAACAGACTATGTATAGGGTTATAACAGGGTTAAAAAAGGGTAATAAACAACTATGTATAGGGACAACGGTTTTACTAAAGGGTTAATAAACGTACTATGTTTTAGGGTTATAACGGGGTTTAAAAAACAAACAGTTATAGGGTACAAAAGGGTTTAAAAAACTAAAGGGTTTCTAACAGGGTTAATTAAACAGTCTATGTAAGGGTTACAAACGGGGTTTAAACGGGGGTTAAAAACAGTATATGTAGTTGGGGTTTATAACAGGGTTAATAAACAGTAATGTATAGGGACAAAAAAGGGGTTTACTAACAGGGTTAATAAACAGTACTTTTTTAAGGGTTACTAACGGGGGAAATAACGGGGTTAAAAAAGTATAGGGTTACTAGGGTTACTAACAGGGTTTAATAAACAGTACATGTATGGGGTTTCAACGGGGTTTAATAAACAGTACTATGTAGAGGGTTCTAACGGGGTTTTACTAACAGGGTTAAAAACAGTACTATGTATGGGGTACAAACAGGGTTCAACAGGGTTAAAAAACTACTATGTATAGGGTTATAACAGGGTTAATAAACGACAGTAGTGGGGTTTTTAAACGGGTTTACTAACGGGGTTTATAAACGTACTAGTATAGGGTTAAAACAGGGTTAATAAACGTACTATGAGGGGTTACTAAAGGGTTATAACAGGGTTTAATAAACAGTACTATTAGTGGGGTTTTACTAACGGGGTTACTAAGGGTTAAATAAAAGTACATGTAGTGGGGTTTAAAAACAGGGTTAAAAAAGGGGGTAAAAAACAGTACTAGACTGGGGTTACTAACGGGTTAAAAACGTACAGTATAGGGTTACAAAGGGGTTTAAAAACAGGGTTAATAAACAGTACTATGTACTAGGGTTACTAACAGGGTTTTTTAAAGTATGTATGGGGTTTATAACGGGGTTTTACTAACGGGGTTTAAAAAAACAGATAGATGGGGTTACAAAAAGGGGGTTTAAACCGGGTTTAAATAAACAGTACATGTGTGGGGTTTACAAAACAGGGTTTAAAAAAAAGTACTATGTTGGGGTTTCTAACGGGTACTAAACGGGTTAATAAACAGTACATGTATAGGGTTACAAAGGGGGTTTACTAACGGGGTTAAAAAAAGCTTGTATAGGGTTCTAACAGGGTTACTAACGGGGTTTAATAAAAAGTACTAGTAGTGGGTTTTGGGTTACTAAGGGTTTAAATAACGTACATGATAGGGTTCAAAACAGGGTTATAACGGGGTTTAATAAAAAGTACTATGAAGTGGGGTTACAAACGGGGTTTAATAACAGGGTTAATAAACAGGGTTAATAAAGGGTACTTGAAAGTAGGGTTACTAACGGGGTTAAAAACGTACTAGTGTAGGGTTACAAACAGGGTTAAATAAACAGTATATGTACTAGGGTTACTAACAGGTTACAACGGGTTTAATAAACAGTATTGTATAGGGTTACTGGGGTTTAAAAGGGGAAAAAAGTACTATTATGGGTACTAACAGGGTTACTAACAGGGTTAAAAAACGTACAGTCTAGGGGGGTTTACTAACGGGGTTAAAAACGCTATGTATGGGTTTACTAACAGGGTTACTAACGGGTTTAAACGTACTTTAAAGGTTTCCGGGCCTGGGGTTAAAAACAGACTATGTAGTAGGGTTCAAAAGGGGTTTAATAAACAGTACTATGTACTGGGGTTTACTAACGGGTTACTAAAGGGTTAATAAAAGACTTGTAGTGGGGTTTACTAACGGGGTTTAAATAAACGTACTATGTATGGGGTTTAAAACAGGGTTAAAAGGGTTAATAACATATAGTACTGGTTTTACAACGGGGTTTACAACGGGGTTTTAATAAACGTACTATGTATGGGTTACTAACGGGGTTTAATAAACAGTAATGTCTAGGGTTACTAACAGGGTTTACTAAAGGGTTAATAAACGTACTATGTAGTGGTTACAACAGGGTTTAATAAACAGTATTTGACTGGGGTTTATAACGGGGTTTCTAAAGGGTTAATAAACAGACTATGTAGTAGGGTACAACAGGGTTAAAAACAGACATGTACTAGGGTTACTAAACAGGGTTCTAACAGGGTTAATAAAAAAAGTACTAGTACAGGGTTAAACAGGGTTAAAAAACGTACATGTAGTAGGGTAAAAAGGGTTTTAAAAACATTTACTATGTACTGGGTTATACGGGGTTACAAAAGGGGTTAAAAAACATATAGGTAGGGGACTAACGGGGTTAAAAAACAGTATATGATAGGTTACTAACGGGGGTTACAAACGGGGTTTAAAAATTTATTGTATAGGGTTATAACGGGGTTAAAACGGGGTTTAAAAACAGTACTATGTAATGGGTTACAAAGGGGGGTTTAATAAAAGAATGAAAGGGGGTTTAAAACGGGTTACTAAAGGGTTAAAAACTAGTAATTTAAAAGGGTTTAAAAAACGGGTAATAAACAGTCATGAAAGGGGGTACAACGGGTTAATAAACAGTATAGTATGGGTTTTTGGGACTAAAGGGTTAAAAAAGTATATGTAGTAGGGACAAAACAGGGAATAAACAGTACATGATAGGGTTACTAAAGGGTTAAAAAGGGGGAATAAACAGTCTATTTATAGGGTTATAACGGGGGTAAAAAGGGGTTTAAATTTAAAAAGTAATGTAGGGGTTACAAAACGGGTTTTAAAATTAAACAGTACTATGTACTGGGGGTTAAAAAGGGGTTTACTAAAGGGTTAAAAAAGTATAGTAGTAGGGTTACAACGGGTTAATAAACAGTCATGGTGGGGGTTAAACGGGGTTTACTACAGGGTTAATAAACAGAATAGTAGGGTTTACAAAGGGTAAAAAAAGGGGTTAATAACGTACTATGTGTAGGGTTACTAAAGGGTTAAATTTAAAACAGTACTAGTAGTGGGGTTTAAAAAAGGGTTAAACGGGGTTTTAATAAACAGACTAGATAGGGTTACAAAACGGGGTTTTAAAAACAGTAAAGGTATAGGGTTACAAAAGGGGTTTAAAAAAAAATATATGTACTAGGGTTATAACAGGTTAATCTACATTATGGGGTTATAACATTATAACATTACATTATGGGGTTTAAACATTCAATTAAATAAACGCTTTACTGGGCAAGGGGTTCTCCTTTCAGACTATTTTTAAAAATTTTCATTAAAATTCTCTTGACTAGGGTTATAACGGGGTTAAAACATTTTTTACTATTACAACAAAACATTATCTTTAATTTTTATTATAACGGGTTCTAAATTTATAAAAAACTATTATTTGGGTTACTAAATTAAAACATTAATCTTTTAGTATTAC